GCCGAGCAACGCCTGTAGGTCGGCGATCCACTGGACAACAGGTACCTGGGTCTCATCTTGTCTCCTTGGAGGCAGGATGGGTTGACCCTGTTTCCCGAGTTCACAGATGTTGGTGCATCCTAGTTCCTTTTGGCCCGTCAGTCATCAAGGAATTCTTAGAGGTTTGAGGTGCGAGGGGGAGAGGCGTGATGTCAGTCCTCAACCCTCAAAGGGGGGCCGTGGTGGCCCGATCTTCTGTCTTCGTTCCGGGGGATTTCTCATCAGCGGCGGTGTCCTTGGCCTCGGCGATGGTTGCGAGATCATGTTGTTTCATTCTCCCTTCAGCTGGGGGGTTGGGAGGTCCTCGACGGCTAACTAACACATCGGTTGTTGCTGCCGATTGCCGCCGGACTCTGAGGGGTCGGCCCTGTTGGGTCCAACAGGGTGCTGATCTAGCGGAGCTCCAAAGAGCATCCACTGCGGCACCCCAGGCTTCCATCGGGGCAGCCACCCTGCGAGCGGCCTCTCCTCGGTCGCCCCACCTCGTCTAGTCTTTGTGAGAGGTTGTCGAGCTAGTCGAGGACTGCTTGGAGTTGGTCCCTTGTGACCAGGTTCTGGGTACTTCTGGTGTTTGTAGCCATTTCGTTGGAAGCTTAGTTGTGTATTGAGGAAGACCTTAGCAGTTGTTCCTATAGACGACGCCAATTGTTGTCAAGTGAAATGGGATGAGGGCAACATTGTTAATTCGCTTTCAAGACGAGTTGGCTGATGGAGAGGTCCGAGGTCGGCTAGGGCCGAGGACCTATGAGTGTCTGAGATTGGCGGGAGCCGAGCACCTGCGAGTCGGTCCTGTAGAGAAGGGAACGTCAAAGGCCCTAGGTGCTAACCCGAGGCGGGGACTCCGACGGTCAAATTAGTAAGGGCATAGTAAAGAGGGCGGACAAGGTCAGAGTAGAGTAGCTCAAACGAGGTTGCCAAGAAGCTAGAGAGCTTGGGGTAATGAGTGTCTAGATGCCTCACTTGTGGGGGGTCACCCCTATACTTGAGACCGCCTAGAGGTAGATGAGCATGGACAATCAAGATGTAATCCGGCCTTGGGGGTGCGGCCATCCAAGGGAGCCACATGCGGTCATGCTATTGGTCCCGCGCTGCACACCGCCCTCAGCCATATGTCGGCGTGCTACTGCCCTGACTAAAGCACCTACGTCACATATATAAAAATGTATATAAATAATAGAAAGTTGTATATAATCTATATATTATTAAGTCAGACTCGGATTTTTATCGGGTGGAGCCAAATTCATATCGGATCCGATTATTAAATGGATACAGGTTTTAAATGTGATTGTTATTTCTTTAATTCACTTTTTGAACTCAATTTATAACGAAGAGATGACAAAAAAAAAATCAAAATTAAGTATGAACAACAGAGTAAGAAAAAAAAATCAAAATCAAAATTAGGGTAGGCTTTGGTCTTGACGGTTTAAGGATTTATTTGTGGAATTTTTTAAAAACTTGATTTTTAATAATAATAATAATAATAATAATATAATTCAAAACTTGTAATTGTAATTTAAATTTTGTAAATAATACTTTAAGTAACCATGACCTTTGTAACCGTTAGTAATTGGGATAAAATTTTTATATCCTAAAAATATTTTAGGATTTATTTCTCCAGGTCCATTCGAGTAGGGTAAGCCCCTAGACCCTAGAACTAGCCTTGGTAGGAGTTGGTTCCAAGAAGGCCCTATGGGATTGGTTTAAGGCCGATTTAGGGTTGATTTCATTCAATTCTAGGTAGAACCCACCCATTTGCTTATCCCTACCATTGATTCTATAAGCAAACATAGAGATGCCTTACTCTTTCTTTTAAATGCTTACCAGCATTAAAAGACGACCTCCAGTTTGACATCGATTGAATCTCTGGCCCATGAATCTCTCTTTCTTCAGTTCTATGCTCGGTCTGATTCTCTAAAATGTGGGTGCTGTCACGTGGGCCTTACCCTTTAGACCCGGCTTGACGAAGGGGTGCTGGCTGTGCTTGGCACGACACGGCACTGTAGTCCGTGGGCAGTCCAACCCGTTTTACACCTAGTATGGTCCATAGTAGCTTTAGACAAGCAATTGTGGGTATATAGGAAGATTAGTCTGCTTACCATGCACAAAATAGTGATTTATCAGTCTTATGGAATTGAAAAGATGATTTTGTTTTTGAAAGCATCTTTTTGCTAGTTATAGAAACAATATTGCTTTCTTAATCAAGTTGAGAATGACTCTACTTTGAAAATTTCTTAATCAATTTGAGAATGATTTTACTTTGAAAACACACGCAAATTCAAAGATGTTTTTTTTTTCCTGATGTGGCATTTCTTAAGCTAAAATAGAAAATAAAAACATTTATATTGGTCAATACTCCATAAATCATGCATGAATAAAATGGGTACAATCTAAATAATGAAGTTAATTAAATCATAAGCATTTGGGTTTAATATGCCCGCTGTTAACAAATAAAGTTAGCCAATCTATGGCGAACTTTGTAAATAAAAGGTCGCAACTATGTTCAACAAAAGAAAATATTTTTAAAGCATGCAAAGACAACATTTTTGAATCCAAATGTTGAAACTTTTATCCCTCGTTCTTTTGCCGGGAATAAGGGGAAAGTTGGTTAATAAGATAGTTGACTAATTGTAGAGCCCACAGAAAATGCATTTTCTCTCTCGTAAAATTTTTGACCAATTCACTGGTTAAGTGTTTTTCTTCTCCTAGGTGGATAAATCACTTTTCCATTTGGGGGGAAGCTACTCAATTTGTTATGCGACTAAAATACCCTTTGCCAAAACACAATTTAAGGGTAAAAGTGGTAAACATGGAAAAACAACAAACTTACCTGATAAAATGATTTGTGCAAAAGGGCAGTGGTAAATGCATTTTATCTAGGACTTTTGGGTAAATATATATGTTCTCGGCAAAAGAATGAGGCCTATATTTTATAGAAAGGTAAGTTCAGGAGCGAGCCTATAAACTCCATCGGAACTCAAAACCCAAACAACACTAGCTTTGCCCATACACACTCTACAAGCAAGGGATTCGAGGTGCACATTGGGAACATATTCCTGTGAATTTAACATACATGTATGGGGAGATATTCCCAATGTGTAGTTGGATGTTATGTGTGCAGATTTTTTGCTTGCAAGAGATCTAGGGTCATCCATTGTGTCCATTTAGATGGATTGGGTTAGGTATTTAGGTTGGGTAGAGGACCATGACATTTGTCATTCATGTAGTAGGTAAATTCTGAGGGGGCATTTGGCATGTCTTTTCATGTGGCCTTTCAGGCTTTTCAAAGATTGGAAGACCAAAATTTGATCTTACTCCATTTGGCAATGAAAGACAGGAAGCTAGAAAAACCTTATGTCCAAAAAAACTCACATAAGCCGAAAAGGGCCAAAATATAGAAGCTTCAAATGGAGCTTCCCATCTTTTCGTGCCTAAAATGTTTCATTTAATAGCTCATTAGATCATATTAGCCAAAGATACTTACCAAGTGGTCTAGATCTTTAAAGACAAGACCCCAAAAGCTTATTATGTCTTTTGGCCATCTGGGCTGTTACACATGGCAATGGGATTCCCAAGTAGTAGGTGCATCATTCCATCTTCCTGGTACTTGCACTATTCATTACAATGAGATAGAATTATTTGATCATTAGAAAAAAACACATTCAATTGGACAATTATTAAGTTAATACTATGCATGTAAGTCGAGAATAATCAATCACTACAAGTTAGGGGTGTTCATTATATGGTCTAGAACACCAAATTGCACTGAATCAAACCGAAATTAACTGTTTAGTCTGGTTTGGCTTTAAAACAGTCTAGTTTGGTTTGAGATTTTCTCAGATTGTAATTTTCTGGTTTGGTTTGGTTTAACATTTTCATGCATCGTTGCTTTTTTGTTTCAATTTTTAACCTGTAATTTGATGTCCAAGGAGCTGTTTATGTTTGAGAAAGTGTGAATGTAATTTATATAATAGTATTAGGTGGTATTTGTTCACATTTCAATTTGATATTTTAGTTATATGTTGTTTATGTCAGTATGCATGTTATTTGGGCTTTCTGATCGGGTTAATCCTAATAGAATGGTTCAAATCATATTAGAAACCGGGAACAGTTTGGTCTGGTTGGTTTCTATACTGAAATTATTTGATTTGATCTAAGAATTTGTCAAACCGTAATTTACTGGTTTGGCCTTAGATCTTCTCCAAACCAGACCGTGAATACCCCTACTAAAAGTGGTATAAAAGACTTGGAAGATTTCAAAAGCCAAGACGTATATGCAGTATTAGATAATGTTGGAACGGATTTTGTTTGGAGGAGATTTTGTTTGGGGCAACACATAATCAAGGATATGTTGAATACTTTGAATTGGGCAATCTTAATAGGTTAAAATATTAAAAATCATGTATAGGTACAGCTTTATAAATTATCAACCAAAAAAAAAAAGCATCATACTGTTCATGCTCCATATATTAAGCAATACTCATGGGTTGTCAGTGGGTAGGGTAGACTGATCTTCGACCTGCACCTAATTGCCAACCCTAATTTGTTTTATCCATGAACAAAGCACTGAAATTTCCTCTAGTTTCCTTGTTTCGTTTTCCATGAGAAGCCATTGCTACTATTATTTGTTGCTTGAAGAAGCAGAAGATTCAACTGTATCATTACTCTGAGTAACATCAGCTGCAATATATGTTTATATCTCCCAAAAACTCTCCTATTTCTTCACCTGTTGACCGAAGTCTAGGGTGATTTTGCAGACAGAAAATGCTTTGGCATTTTCAGTATATTAAAAATAATGTAAATGTACAGTACTAACAATCTTTGACAGTGGAATTCCTGGAGATATTTGGAAAGTAAGGGAGGTTGTAGACATTGACAGCAAACCTAGTAATCAAGTTGGTCTAGTTGGTCTGACAAGATTTCATCATTGCTCTTTCATTTGCAAATATAGGCTTATAAGATGATCAAGCAGCGCCCATGCAATTCTCCCAAGTACTATATTTCGAGCTGAAGGTCCCCCCTCCATTCTGCTGGGCATACTCTGCTAAAACCATGTGAGAACACAAGTCCCAAGTCTTAGCCATCTCTCGAAGTGACAGAGGCTGCGAAAGATTGCGGAGAGACAGAGAAAATCTTGACTTTGCCTTAGCTGAAAGATCTTCATACTCTTTACTGTCACAGCATGGTCTACAGCCAAATTTTATGTCAAGAAAGAGCATGTAAAGAAGAGAATATAAGTCTAACAAATGGTATCATTATAAGAATGCAGATTCAGTGATTAAGCCCGAGCAACCTGCACATCTATATCAACTTCAGTGGATATTATTGAGATTTCATACAGGATCATGGTTTAAAATGTTGATTTATTTTGTAATATTTTCATGGTCACCGATACGAAATATGGATCAACATATTCACACTGAGAACCATTGACATTATGTGGAGTTCATTATAGCATAATTTGGAGACAATACAGTAGATGTGTTGAGTAACAATGTTATTGCTGCCTAATGGACATGATTACCACTTTGAGCCATGTTATAGGAGCAGGCAGCAGCACTGTTATTACTTTATGTTTTGTCTTGTCCGAGTTCCCTATTTGTCCCTTTTATTGCTGATGTGTTTCTTTTATTTCATTGTGTGGTATAGGGGCTAATCACTCTTATGAAATTTCATAGTCAGGGTTATTAGTGTAATTATACCCACTTAAGCATTAATATAAATACTATCTGTCTGAATGGGAGATTTGACTTTCTCCTCAGTTCGACAGGTAGTTTTTCTCTTCCTCCCTGGCTGCTGGTTCTCTTTCTCTCTCTCTGAAGGTTACCAAATCACTCAATCTCTTATCTGTTATGACATGGTACCAGAGCAGGGATTTGGGTAATCTGATTTTTTCTCTGTTCTCTCTTTGTTCAAACTTTGCTCCTCTTTTCTGATATTTTCTCAAGATTCAAAGGATCATACCTGGTTGGATTACTTTAAGTGTTGTGCGATGGTTCAAACCATCACCATTAGTGCTGTGATCGACTGGTGAAGTGAAACCCTCTAGTGGAATCAATCCAAGAGGGTGTGATGTGATTGGTGATGAAGAATGCAGATTGTGAGAAGTGTTTTATGTGTGCTTTGAATGTGGAGTGGTGGATCTCTTGAAATCAGATTTCTGAAGTGATTGATTACAGACAAAGTGTGCAATTATTTTCTTAATAAAGTTGATGATGTGGATACTCAATTAGGTGATCAGTCACACTCTCTTGTTGATTAGGAGGCTCTTACATATGATTGGTCTTGGTGAAATGAACTGTAAGAACTGTCAGATAGGTGAGTATAGATTTCTTGGGAAAGGTAAGATTACTATTGCTGATGGATCTTAGATTTCAATTTCTAGTCAGGGTGAACCAAGCTTATCCACAACCTTTCCCAGGGGTATGTCCTTCGTAGAGAGAATGGGCTGAATGGCCCATAGACTGTTTAATTATTTTTTGTTTATGTTCTATGCTGTTAATGGGCCTCAAAGTGGGTCTTACTTATGTTACGTTTACTTAAGATTAATCACCCAGTTAAGGGCCTCTCTGTAATTACTGTAAATTAAGTTTAATGAAAAGGAATTAGGGTGTAAGAGAGGGTTACATTCGAAATCTTCCTCAGAACCCTATTTGCTGCCACCTTCTTCTTCTTCTTCTTCTTCTTCTCTATTCTTGCTTCTCTTTTCTGCTGTTCTCTATCATCTTTTGACTGTTTTTAATTAGTCCGTTAGTTTCAGAGGACTGCTTTTCTTCTTGGTATCAAAGCGGGCTCTCCTTTTCTCTCTTTTTTTTTCTCTTTCTTCCCATACACAGTGTGTATGGAGAACTGAATCGAATGAGTAGTTAAAAATTTTTTTCTTCAGCCCAGTTGTTAGTGGATTTTTGGAGAGAAGAAGACCGTCTTTGTCATCATTCCGACAGTCTCTGGTGTTTTGCCCAAACCATAATTAACTAGAGAATTCTACTTGCGGGCCCCATAGGGAGTTTAACCTTGGCGCTCAATGATTAAAAGGCTCCTTGTTCTTCATCTTGAAGATCGATACAAGCATCTTGTTGTTCTGTGAAGTCTACAAGGAGTGGCTGGGTTTTTTCTGTTTCTCCCGGGTTCCGGGTGTGACGCAATTAATAGGTATGACTGCATAGAGGTTAGTTCTCAGCATCTATTTTTTCCTGTCTTCCTTGATTGTTAATTGAAGTTGTTAGAAGTTCTTTTGGAGTGTTTTTAAGAAGATGGATACCTTGGGAGTTGAAAGCAAGCATGTTGCTGAATCCGGGACAGGTTCCGGGGGCTGCTGTTGACTCCCTACTGGCTATGACAATAGTCAATCTAGATGGAACCAATTATCTGGCATGGTCACAATCAATAAAAATTCATGTCTGCAGCAGAGGCAAGTGGGGGAATATCTCCGGGAGCAAGAAAGCTAATGTGGAAGATGATCCATCTTATGAAAAATGGATGCAAGAAAATTATACTATCATTGGATGGCTAGTAAATTCGATGCAACCTCAAGTCAGTCAACACTATTTATGGATTAATTCAGCAAAGGAAATATTCCAGTGTGGCTGAAACTTATTCTCAGAAACTGAATGTGGCCAGGGCATATAAGCTGAGGAGTGATGTGAATAATTTAAGGTAGGGTGAGAGACCTTTAGCTATTTACTTCACAATGCTGAAATCCCTTTGGCAAGAAATTGACTTGATGGAAACTGTTGTCTGGGAAAGTACTAATGATGCTGAAACCTACAGAAAATTAGTTGAGAGAAATAGGGTTTTTGAATTCTTGACAGGGTTGAATCCCGAGTTTGACATCACAAAACAAAATATCTTAGCCAAGGATAGTGTTTCATTGCCTTAGGCCTATGCCTTGGTGAGTAGTGAAGAAAGCAGGAGGCTAGTCCAGGTTCAAGGGGCTGGTCTAAATGACCATTTTGCTTACATGGGGCTGAAACTGAAGGGAACTATAGGTAGTTCAGGTGGTTCAGGAATGAAGGAAGTTGTCTGTGAGTACTGTAAGAAACCAAAGCTTACAAAAGACTAGTGTTGGAAACTACATCCGGAGCTTCTTCCTCCTCGTTTCCAAAAGAAGACTGATAATGTGAAGACAGGAAGTGCCAACATTGCTACTGGTCCAGAGAATGACAGATGCTTAACCAAAGAGAGGACTGCTAGGGAACAGTTAGCAGTTATGAAGGCAGAATATTAGAAGTATGGAAGGATGATCAGTCACCTAGAGAGTGCTGCCTCTTCTTCCAACCCTCTAGGAAATTCAACCTCTTCTGCATTTGCTCATTTAGGTATACGGGCTTTTGCCAATCATGCAACTATCTCAGGTAATCGTAGGATCCCTTGGATTATTGATTATGGTGCTTTTGATCATATGACCAGCCTTTCCACCTTGTTTATTTCTTATGATTTGCTTCCTGTCCATGATAAGATCACTGTTGAGGGCCCACGAATAGGATCTCGTCACGGGTCGGTCCATGGGGAAAACCTGCTGTTTTCCCTTGTTCCTCCCTGCTCTTGATGAACCTATTTTGGCGCCTTGGTGATTTGTTCAAGAGATCACCAACTCTCCTAACTCACTTCTGGACTGAATATTCGATGCCTTCATTCAATACTGGTGTCTCCTTAAATAGGAGATTACAAGAGTCCTAATCCTAGGGAGACTCCTTGCTGAATAGGGAGACCTCTTGCTCTATCTTGATAAGATAAGACTGATAGGATAAGATAAGTCTCTCTTAATCCTAATCTGATAAGATAAGATAATCTAATCTACTAATCTTAATAAGATAATATAAGAACAAGTAGGATAGTCTAATCTAATCTGATAAGACTGTTGCTGCTGAACTGGGTAGGATGAGTTGGACCACTGTTGCTGCCGGCAGCGATGATATTTCTTCCCGAGGAACGCGTCCATATCATTACTCCCCTCCTGGACTAAGAGTTTGTCCTCAAGCTCGAACTCCGGATACGTGGCTTGGAACTCGGTCAAGGGGATCCAGGTGGTTTCGGCCGATGGTAGGCTGTCCCATTCCACCAAAATTTCAAGAATACCTCGATTACGAGAGCGGATGAGAGCCCTAGGCTGGGGAACAAGTTTGCCTTCTTTCAAGGGTGGCAGGGAGGGAACTTGGTCCGGAGGAACACCCGTAAATGGTTTTAGCAAGGAGACGTGAAAAACATCATGAATCTGGCTGTTCTCTGGTAATTCCAGCTGGTATGCCACAGTGCCAATCCGCCGTAGAACCTTGAAGGGACCATAGAACTTAGGGGCCAGTTTAGGGCCAGCCCTCTGGCACAGGGAGCGTTGCCGGTAGGGCTAGAGTTTCAGCCAAACAAATTGTCCTGGTTCGAATGACAATTTCCGATGGTGCTTGTCATAGGTGAGCTTCATGCAGAGCTGGGCCTGCTGTAAGCGAAGGTGTACGTCGGCTAGGAGGGCATCGCGTTCCTGTAAGGAGTGATCAATGTCCTCCAATCGAGTAGAACCGGGTTCATAGGATAACAAGCGAGGAGGGTCCCGGCCGTAGACGACGCGAAAAGGGGTCATGCCGAGGGAAGAATGGTAGGCAATGTTGTAACAGTACTCGGCCCAAGGAAGCCAATCTACCCACCGTTGCGGTTGATCCCCCACGAAGCAACGAAGATACATCTCAATCGTGCGGTTCACCACCTCCGTCTGTCCGTTGGTCTGTGGATGATATGCTGAGGATAAGGCCAGGGTGGTGCCATGTAGTCGAAATAACTCCTTCCAGAAGGCACTAGTGAAAACCGGGTCCCTGTCGCCAATGATGGATTCCGGTAACCCATGTAAGCGGAAAATATGTGTAGAGAAGATGGGCCGAATGGCCCATAGACTGTCATTTTATGTTATGTTATGTTTCTCTCTGTTGTGGGCCTTATTCTGGGCCCATACTCTGTAATATTCTGTTTTTTGTATTTTCCTGCTCACTCAAGGGCCTCTCTGTAATTTGTCAAAGATTAACTTATT